CAATACAAAACGGAGTGCTCTCTTCCACCGCCGCATCTTCCTGTTGGGGCTTCAGAGGCGTTCAGGTTGTTCATGCCTGTACTGCCGCCTAAATACCGATGTGTCCGTCTGAATGCATGAATTCGCTCTTGCTTAATCGTACGAACAGAAAAGTAACGCGTGTGCTCGTCTGGGTCGACGCTGAGCCCTCGCCTGGGCTGTTATAACTTGTCTACATCCCTCATAAGCTAAGCGAAATCTCCCATCATTTTCCTGCACTCCCCCATAGGTGGTGAACTCCCTGCTTTTATAGGGACCCTCAGAGAACGGATTCTATAGTTGTGCGGAGCGTGCTGCTAATATGTTCCTGCGTCTCACGGCGCCTTTGGGCCCGACAGCCACCGACGGCATTCAAATCCTTCGGGGAGCCGTAGAAAGGCCCAAACTCATCAAGGGCCCCTACACCATGGAGAGGTCTCTTCCTCTGTAGTGCATTCATGATGACATCAGCTGCAGCGGATCTCCCAGTCAACGCCAGTGGTACATCGACGAACGCTTTGGGGAGCTTCTCCGCCAACCACAAATACAAATCTAAAACCTGCACATGCGCTCACACACCCTACGCCCACATTTGCTGGTGGTCGCTGCTGCTCTCCGCTTTACACACCTAACAGCTGTTCAGCGGTCAAAAGGTGGCAGCGACTCCAGCGCATCCAGCAACTGCAGCACCCGCAAGTACCTGGTAGATTGTTTCCCATGCTCGCAGGGCCTCTATTGTCTCAGCTGGGGTCGCCTCTGTCTCATCCGCATCACACGGGGCCCCAATAGCGTCTCGGTGGAAATATCCAACGCCTGCCGCACCATGTGACCCCCAGGGGCATTCATCTACAGACCACGACCCCAAGCGCTGCTCTAGCCGTCGCTGCTGCTGGTCGTTGTCTACCTTCTGAACGATACGAAATGGAGAAGGCAACGGTACCACGCGAGTTGCAGCCAGGGAAACGGCAAAGGAACGCAAGGCTGCCTGTATGGGGAGACTGATGCTAGCAGCAGCAGCACTTGCGGTCGCTACTGCATCTGATGGCTCGCCTCCTGTTGCTGCACCTTCAGTGTCATCGCCTGTGACCGCGCCACTTCCCTCCTGCAACGGAAAGGCTGCCTCAGCTTCTGATTCCCCCTCACTGGAGCATCCTATTCCCTGCTGCTGCTCCTTCCGATGTGACGTGGTGGGGCGCGAGGCCGAGACAGGCGCCATACAGAAGATATATAACTCCGGGGGCGGCAACGGAACATCCCGTAGCAACGCCGCCACTGCAACTGCCCTGTGAAGGGCCCCTGCTGGTATGAAGTATGGAACTCTTGTGTGCAGCATTGACACGAACCTGCATTAGAAGGCATCAACACCAACAAGCAAGCGTCCTATTCGTCAACTGCCTAGGGCACTTGGTACCAGCTCAAGGGCGGCATAGAAATGCATACTCTAGGCATTAAGCTTGAGTGATTCAGAAGCATCAGCTTCGCAGCTCTGCGGTGGGGCCTAAGGTCTAGAATTTACTTCTGTATGAGGGCAGCCGTACACACTGGGGTGTTATCTGCTGCAAAATGGGCAAACAATTCGAATGCCCAAGTCTCAGGCAGCAGAGCCGCCGAGTTTAGAGGAGGTACGGAAACAGTCGGACCTACATCACAAGCCGTATACCCCACACATTACACACTTAGCGATGAACAGCTATTGCCAGATCCGACATCGCAAGGCTTTCCCCATTAAGGTTCGGGAACTGGGTATTTGCCATCGAAATGCAGAGCCAAGGGGGAAGTCTAAGCCCTCCAACCCATGGCGTCATTCTGCAGACACTGGATTCTCTGTCGAGACTACAGTTTCTTACCTTCGAGTAGACTTCGAAGTGTATCCAGCTGGTCTTGCTGCAGAGCGCTCACGAGGCCTCCCTGCGTGCCCCAGGGGCCCCCAAACCGCCCTGCCCTGTAGGCTAGCTGACGCACCTCGGAGGCCTCCAGTCGCCTTAGCGACGTTCCATCGTACTTAAAAGTGGTTGTGAATATGATGCGACGAATCGACAGGTTCACCCCAAGGCCAATTGCGTCGGTCGCTATCAGCACGGAATATGGAGGAAGAGGATCTGCTGTTGCTGCCTTTGCTAAATCTGTTGTTTCTCTTGCTGGTTTTGGCAGTGTTGATGCTGGCGCGGCTACTGCTGCCACGTCTGCAGATCCAACAGGTCCTTCAGCTGGAAATACAATGTTTAGGCGCTCCTGCTCCGGCTGGTCTTCCATATGTTGCCGTTGCTGCGCGTGTGCATGTATTTCTACAGCCTCATTAAACCTTCTGGTCTGCTGCAACCTGACATCCGGTGGCAGCTGCCCATACAGCAAAGCTGCCTGTACACCCGAAGCAGAGAGGAGCCCTTTGAGTTTCCAACAGGCATTTACGGAGAAGGCAAGGAGGCAGTCCCCCGGCTGAAGAGCAGCAACCCAATCAGCGGGCAAGG